CTAGGCTAGAAGGCCAAGAGCGAGCCTGCTTCCCACAAGTGTGGCCATCTATACCAGCTGTCCCATGCCTTCCCCAGGTACAAGACTCTTGGACCTGCCTGCTCCAGACCAGAGGCCAACTGTACCTGACCTTGCCCCTCTGTCTGGAGGCCTCCCTGTCTCCTGTGGCTGGCCCAGCCCCACGAGCCTGGCGACGGAAGGACTCCCACTCCTCTTCAGACAGACTGGCAGCTTGAGCTATGGATTCGCCCTTCCCTGACACCACGCTTCCCCATCTTGTCTGTAACTCCCCCATCCCCCCCCATGGCCACCCCTCTCCCACTAGCTCGCTGACAGCTCCTCTCCCACCTACATATAAACCGGCAAGTTTCCCATCTGGAATAGTTTATGTACCTGGCAGAAGAGGAACTTGCCTTTATCAGGGAGCTGCTACGGCCCTGCATTTCACATCCATCATCTTGCCTAGGCCCTATTGCACCCCCTAGGTGGTAAAATTCATTCCCATTTTCCAGCTGAGACCCAAGACTCAGGCACGAGGGTGAGCCATACAGAGACAGCTGGCGTGGCTGAAGTTCAGAACAAGGCAGAGCCCCCCCCCCCCCGGGCTTAGGCCCTAGTGAACATACTGGCTGTGTGGAGATTGAGGCACATGACCATGTAAATACGTGCTGTTAGCAAAATTGTGATACTTTGCCCAGGTCAGAAACCCCTATGATGCCCAATGTTGTCCCATTGTAAAGGGGATCCTAGGAAGAGAGCCAGTGTCTTCAGCACTTATGGGGTTTGCTCTAGAAGGGATGAGGGTCCTCTTGCAGACAGAGCCATCCCATAATAGTAGAGATTGCACTGAACAGTGGAAGGTGGGGGATCCTGCCTCTGGGATTGGTGAGCAAGGCTGGCTGAGGGATGTTGACTCTTTCATGTGGCCCTGTGGAGGAACTGATCCTGTCTGACTCTGATGTCACACAGGGATGAAGCAGGGGCTGAGACAAAGGCACCACTTGTCCCGTGTCCCATGTCCCTCTCGGACTTCTGACCACCTTAGGGCCATGAGAGGGGCTCACTTCTGAGATGCTGAGACTGGGAAGTAACATTACGTAATAATTGCATATTTTGGCTTGCTCACTCTGTGTGTGTGTGTGTGTGTGTGTGTGTGTGTGTGGTGAGTGTGCGTGTGCACACAGAGGCCACTACGTGTCACTCTGCCCTGTTCCTTTGCGTCAGGGTCTCTCATTTGAACCTAGGCTGGCAGCCAGCAAACCTCAGCAATCCTCCTGTCTTAGTTCCCAACAGCTGAGTTAGGGACGCACGCTACCCACCCAGCTTTATACACGGATGCTGAGGATTTGAACTCATATCCTTAATCTCCTTACCCGCTGCCCACCCCTGTCCTGGGAGCTGAGAGGGAACCTTCTAGGACTTGAAGCCTGACGGAATTGCAACTTGCCTTGGTCACACTAGACAAACAGTAATGGGCCAGCCCAGATCAAGGGTGGAAGGACAGACTTCTCCTGTGGCAGGGTGTGTAAGTCAGCCTTCTCGTGGCTGTGATAGCTGAGAAAACAATGTCAGGGAGGAGAGGCTTCCTTCAGCTCAGTCCTTAGCCCTCTAGCCTGTGCCTCGGCTCTGCATCTTTAGGTTGGTCCCAGGTTGCGACACTGGCTTGCATTCCAAGGAGGGGAATAGAAGCTGGATGAAAGAAGAAACTGCACCCAGATGCATGCCTGGTGGCTCCCTGCTCCTTGGTTCTCTTCTGGTCCTTCCCAGCATCCTCTTACCGGTTGTCACTCAAAGGAAACATGACCCAAGCAGTCAACCAGCCCCTTCTCTGGTACTGACACAGAATCAGGAGAGGAAAGGCTTCTACCTGGGGCTGTCACAGCAAGGGCCAGGCTGAAGTTGGGTGGCTTCAGTGAAGAGAATGAAGGTACAGCTCTTCCTCCAGGCCACTGGCTGCTCCCCTTGCAGGTGCACTAGCTGAGGTTCGGTTTCTCTCCTGGAGTTTCAGAGGCCTGAGGAACACCAGGGCCACTCAACAATGGGAACTGAAAGCAGCCCTTCAGAAGAGACGCCTCAGCAGACATGACCTGTGGTGTTTCCTTATGTGCACCCAGGAAAGCAGCCTCTCCCCACCCTCTCCCTGGGTGCTGTAGAATAACAACACCTCCCCTGCGGCCCTGAGGAGGAGGAGGAGGGGGAGGACAGGCCCCTCCCAGGCGGTGAGCAGAACCAGGTTTGCCGGTCTATTGCACAACCTCTCGCAGGCCTGGGGCTTGGTGGGCTCACATGCAGAGAGCCAGGGCTGCGTCTGAGACAGAGGACAGGCCTCGGAGGTGTGTGCAGTGGCTCACACGCAGTAAAGGTGTACACAAGCCCTTTCTATCCATTATCCTCCAGAAGCTTTAGGGGGAGGCTTGTGTTTCCTGTGGTGCAAATGATAAAGGCAAGGAACTTGGTGGCTGAACCACTTCCTCAGAGTCCCCAGCGGGTAAGCAGAGGAAAGTGTGAGCACCAGGCCTAGGGGCTTTGGCGACACAATGGTTACTTAGTAGCCTCCCTTTGCCTAGGGTTTAGCCTCCAGGCATGCTAAGCCTAGGGCAGTGGGCAGCCAGACTAGACCCTTCAGCTCAAACCAATGCGCCCCCAGACAAGACTTTCTCAATTCAACGGAGATGAGACTGTCAGCCAGGCAGAGCAGGACACCTCTGCATCCCTCTGGGAAACGATAGTGAAGGTTTCTCTCAGTTTCATCTAAGATCAGGAATCTCTGGGTATCAGGAGAGAGAGAGAGAGAGAGAGAGAGAGAGAGAGAGAGAGAGAGAGAGAAGCTGCAGTGTAAGCTCTCCTTCCTCTCTCCACCCCTCTCTTTCTTCTCTCCCCTCCCTCCCCTCTTTTGCTATAGATCTGAATTAGGACTTGGGTTCTCGGGCCAGAGGACTGTGGAGGTTACCTAGCTCTCACCCAGGGCTGGGGCTCAGAGAGAGCAAACCAGTGCTGAGTTCACTGTAACTAGCTCTCCTGGCCCCTACCTGGGGGTTCCTGGAATCAGCCATCTGGCCCCCACGATCCCCACCAAGACTTTAGCCTTCAGGGAAGGAAGCAGAAGTGAGTAGAGGGGGCCAGCGGTGGTGGGGGTTCAGCACGACAGAAAGAACTACGGTTAGTGCCTCCCTGGGTAAGGCACATGCAGGGTGGGGCTGGAAAAGTGTGACCGGAAGGAAGCCCTCTGAAATGCTATCTTGACTTACTGAGAGGGGCAGGGTGAGTGAGTGCTCCCAGCAGCAAGAGTGTGATATCTTGTCCTGCTCTGCCTTGCCAGGGCGACAGTCTTGTCCCCACTGAATTAGAGCCCAAACCCTAGGTATCCAGCCCAGGCCTGGCAGAGAAGGACTCTTGGGGAAAGTTAGACAGAGAAGGGGGATGGAAAGAGTAGATAAAAAGTTAATAGGCACTGAAGATGATAAGCAACCTTCTCCCAAGGAGAGCCAAAGGAGCCTCTTTGAGAACACTCCTTATTTTAGCAATTGGAGACTGGGGAGGGGGGGGGAGGGGTGGTAGGCTGGGTCCAGATCCCTCTGACTCTCAATTCAAGCCTTTGGCATCTTTTCCTTATCACTTCTCCATCCCGCCTAGACAAAATGTCCCACCTGAGCTGTGCCCTGTTCTCCACCCACCAGGTAGAGACGCACAGTTAGGAGGGCTACAGCGAGGCCATGGGAGTTCCTGGAATTGACCCCTGGCCTCCTTCAGTCCCGCGGAGTCCAGGGAGTCTACCCCTCCCACCTGCTTACCACAGGCCCTGCTATACTGACCCTGGGCAGGGGATATCTGGGTCTGGCATTAGCTCCAGGCTTTCCAGCAACCTTCTTTTTGAGCCTTAGCTTTCCAGTCTGGGTGTTAATCCTGACTAGAGAGTATAGATGGTTTCTTTTTTTTTTTTTTTTTTTTTTTTTTTTTTTTTTTGGGTTCTGTTATTCCTGTCTTGTGGGCAAGACAGTTAAATACAGGGACATTTAAACAACTTGTATGTTTGTGCATGAACGGTTCGAGGGCTGTCAGTGTCGAGTGCCAATCTAATGGCGTGCATATGACTACTCCACACCCATGGGCTACTGAGCAAGTGGGCATGGGATATGTACAGGTATCTCCTGAGAGTATGTTTGTAGCCATTGTGATGGCTTGCCCCAGCCCAGGGTGCAAGAGGGCAGGGCCATTATGGATTGTGGGCACCCCATACACACCTTTGGGCGTGTGTTTGGGTATGCATGTGTGTTACCCCGGTGAAACCTGTGAAAGACGCTTCATTTGCAGCTGCAATGAACAGGAAAAGTCTAACAGACAGCTCTGGGAGACAGGGTTACATCTCAGGGGAAGTCCTCTCCAGTGCCGTTTAGTTTCTGAAACCTGGTCCTCCGCCGGGACCCAGCCCCTACGGACTGGACCGCTGGGTGGAGTTGCCCACAAGACTCCCCTGCAATCAAGCCGCAGTCTAAGTCGACTTGGAGTTTGTTTACAATGTGCCTCACATAGCAGAGCCCCAGCATCTCCTAGAAGCGAGCGCCCCTCTGAGCTGCCTAGAAAGTTGGCCCCACGAACCTTCCAGGATCAGGGCTACGACAGAAGCACAGGACTCAGGACCCCCAACTCCTGCTGCAAGTAAGAGCGCTTTGAGACACCGGGTTCCGCACTGTGACCCAAGATAGACCCTCTGGCTGGTTTAGGATCTTAGCTGGTTATTTTAAGCTTTCGAGGTGGGCCTCTCGCGCGCCCCGGCGCTCCGCTGGCACACAGCAGGCACGCTTTCAACGCTGCCTGTGGAGAGCAAGTTCCCTTCCATACTGCAATAGGGTGCGAAGTGTCCCGGAGCGCCGGGCGGGCGCCGCGGGTCCGAGGCGTCATGTGGACCCCGCCCCCGCCCCGCGGGAGCCACCGGGTGGGGATTCGGCGCGCTGACGTGGGCGGATCAAAGCGGCGGTCCGCGCCTTATAAAGCGCTCGGGCTGGCGGGCGCCGCAGACCGTGCAAGCAGAGGGGAGAGTTCCGTAGATCCGTGAGCGCGCAGGCCGGAGAGACGAGCTTAGCCGAGAGCAGCCGGCTTCAGCGCCCGTGTGCCAGGATCCCTTGCGCCCTGCTGTGCGGCGTCTGGCAGAGACTGTGCTCGCCGCTCCCGCAGGCCGGGCCGCATTCCCAGTTCCCAAGGGCGGCCGGGAGCGCCACGAGAGTACCCCGAAGGTGAGCAGTGGCCGTGGAGTGGGACCCGCTAGGGTAGGGAGAGGGTCGACTGAACGCGAGACCTCCCTATTGGGCACCTACTCCTGGGGAAGCAAACCAAAGTGGCCTTCGTTGCTCTTTTCCTCACCTCTCTCCTTGCAGCGTTCCGAGTAACTCCGCTTGCCGGAGCACAGCTGATGGAATGACTCGGGGACCAGGGGACTAGGAGGGTCACCGGATGGGTTGGTTGCACGGTTCCTTCAGTTTTCCCCCAGCTCTTTCGATTTGTCCCCCATCCCAGGACTCGGTCCCCTCCCTCGCAGTCTGCGGGTTGATGAGGTCACGCCCGAGCCATCCCGGGGGTGGGGGATTTGGATACTGCGACAGAGGGTGTGTGTGTGAGGAGGCGGTGGGGGGGGGGGGACAAAAGACCGAGAAGTCCGCCGCTCCCACCAGTGCCGGAGGTGGGGCTCTCCGGTGGTGGTAAGAAGGGCACCTAGAGGCAACTGGGAAGGGGTGGGGTGAATTTGTTTACCGACCTAAGCTCCAGGTTGGGGGGTAGTGAGGAGAGTCCTGCCCCAGCTCCGCGTCACATCTGGAGTCACTCCCGCTCCGAACATCTGGCTGAGTTCCACCAGCCCCATATCTTCCACCCGTGGCACTGAGGTGCCTCCATGTCCCTCACGGTCTTTGGGAACGCAGGATCCGGCTCCAGCGGGTGGCAAGAGTTCCACGCACTCCCTTTTCTACTTTCCAAACACCGCGTCTCCGCGGTGACCTGGCGCAACATAGAGGATCCTGATAGAATCTCGGCTGAGCTTAAAGCCGGTCTCACGCAGCCACGCAGGTAACCTTGAAGCTGTGGCTCGGAGTCCCTGTCTAACCCTTTCCGTTTTTAGAGCTTCGCGGCCAGGCTTCCGGAGCGGCCCGCTTGAGCGTTATACTGGTGCGGAGATTGTCCCGGCGCACAGCACCAAATCCTGGGCCAGTATGGCACATTGGGATTGGGAGAGGTTTGGCAAATCCTCGCCGGTTAGGTCAAGCGGGGAGGCTACCTAAAGTGGAATTTCTAGAGCTTTCAACCGCTCCAAGCCTTAGGACCACCTGTTGGCGGTCAGGGCTAAAGTGCCTTTGGGGTCCAGCGTTTGCACAACCCCGGGAGGCTCGTTCCTCCGACTGCTGCAAGCTAAGTAGCTTGGACTTTTTGTCCAAGAAGAAAAAGAAAGGGTTACTCTCTCTTTATCTATAAGCACCGCTGTTTTCCGCGGGCCCTTTACGAGACTGTCCCCAACGCAGGCTAGGAGCCCAGGCTGAAGAGGTTGCGTAGTCTGTTTCAGGGCTAACCAAAACAAGTCTTATGAGATAACCAGGGCCAAGAGGGAAGTCACTTTGCACTTCATCCAAGATGGGAACATTAGAACCCAGGAAAAGGAGGGGACTTGCCCGAAGTCCCACTGTGTGAGGCCGGGGCAGATCTTTCTTCGAACCCAGGCTAGCGCCCCCTGGCGGGCCGGGGACTCCCCAAGTCGAATGCGCTTTGACCCTCAGAGCGCAAGCTGAGAGGGTGACCCAGCGGCTCGCATTGCTGGCCTGGACCTTCTTAGGCAGGACAAGAATAATGTCAGGACCCAGAGGCCCAGTCCCAAAAGTGCTTCCTCAGCAGAGCGCTGTAGTGGCGGAGGAAGTCTAGGGCCGCTGGAGCTGCTGGGAAGAGCAGGGAGTAGCTGGAGGCCTGGGTACCTGTCTCCTGTGCGATCAGGGTCACCCCTTACTAGGGGAGTTGAGCTGGACACTGATTCCCCGCTGTAAGTCCTTGAGCTTCCTTCTGAGACCAGCCCTTGCCCTTCGCTTCCCACTCAGGAATTCTGGGCGCCTTCTGCGATCCCACATTTACGGAGGGAACAAAGAGACAACGACTGGGGTTTTGAACCCCCACACCCCCGCTCCGCCGCGATCCTGCAGATATTTTTCTGGTTTGGGGAAGTGTGTAAACTTTCAATAGTGAGGGAAAGATTTGGATACCGAAGAGATGGGAGGAGGAGTCGGACTGTAGCAAAAATTCCCCTGAGATCCCAGCCTAGACTCGTTTGTGCCAAGCACTTCGGACCTGGGGGACTCTGTGGAGGATGGGAGAGGGAAAGTATTTCAAGGTTTTCTACTTGAATTCCTCTTGATTCTGCCAGAAGGCCCCAGAAAACTATGACGTCTCAAATCCCAGTGTGTGTGTGTGTGTGCGCGCGCCCGCGCGCGTTCACACATGTACAAAACACATACATGTGCACAGGCTACACAGGTATGCGTTATAGTGGACACAGGCAGAGAGAGGATAGACGAAGATCAGGAAGCTGAAATCCCGTTCTTTGTTTTTATAAAAGGAAAAACTAATGCTGGGGTGGTTGAGGGTTTGCCCAAGCTCAGAGAGCCAGATGAGAACCGCTCTTCCCTGTTCCAGCGACCTCCCCGCCAGCACCTCCCCCCAAGTCTGGCACCTCCTTCTTCAGACTCCGTGGACCCTTTAGGGAGGAATCCCTTTGTCTTTGCTCCTTGGAAGGGGAGAGGGGCTGTGCATATTCGGGGCGAACGCCAGGTGTTGGTAAATTTGGAAGAAGCCGGGAAGGGAGTTAATGAGGTGAGAATGATGAGGAGGGCAAGCCTCAGAAAGCAGCTTCGCGGTCTGCAAGCGGGCGGGGTAGCGGCTCCTCCGCGGCCCTAGCTCGCCGCCTGGCGGTCCCAAGCAACCTCTTGCAGGCCTGGAACTTCCCTGCTCCGCTAAGGAGCTCTGGAGCTACTACCTAGTCCGCTCGAGTGAGTCCGAAGGGGCGCTTCAGCCTCTCCAGATCCTTCAGTGTGTAAAGGGCATCCACCACCGTTCCATTTTTCCAATTTCCCTTTCCCATACTGAAAAGTAGGTGCCAAGAGAAGACAAATCTTCTGTTTTCTCCCCAACCTGACCTGCGAGGCACAGGTAGACAAGATAGCTGAACAGTCCAGCATCAACCGGGCCGTTTTCCCATCTCTGGACTCCGGTTTCCTCGATTGAGATGGAGGGGGTGACAATACTGATCCCAGGACTGGGAGGAGCAAAGGCGATCACACTAGGAGACTTCTCTGCAAAAGGGAAACTCGGGATGAAACATAGAACCACTAAAGCTGCAATAACTAATAATCAATACTGTGGATTCTAATAGCCTAAATCCCTTCCCGAATCAGCTGCCTTGGCCCTGCATCCTCGTTCCTCTTTTTGCGGGGTCTCTTCCGTCAGTTTGTCTGTGTGCGTCTTGGGTGGGTGTCGCCTGCGGCTTGTGGTCCTCTCCAGGTTCTCTTCTGGGTCTCCCCCAGCACCTCCGTTCTGCGGCTCCAGGGCTATACCTTCCTGGGAGGTATAGCCCTGGATCCGGCCTGGGAGACACGCCCTCGGCCGCGCTCCGTTCTCACCTAATCCAAGCCTGACGCCGGCGGGTCTCGGGCGGCGCGGGGCGGGAGCGGACGCCTGCTTCGCTCGGCCTCCACGGCCCGACCCCTCCTTTGTAATTTGAATAAAACGCCTCCCCGCCAGCGCACCGCCTTAACCCGCCGCCCCGCTCTTCCCGACTGCAGGCGGCGTGCGCGCTGGACCGGCAGTGGCGGCCTGCAGACGGCGGACTTCGCAGCGGCTTCCGCAGGGTGAGACCCCCGAGAGCGCCGGGCGCGCGCGACGATGAGGGCGCGGCCGCAGGTCTGCGAGGCTCTGCTCTTCGCCCTGGCGCTCCACACTGGCGTGTGCTATGGCATCAAGTGGCTGTAAGTAGGACCCTGCCTTCACTCCAATGGGCCATGGGGAAAGCGGCTGGAGAGGCTGGGTGAGCGCACCAAAATCTGCGAGGCCAACTTGGCTTGGATGTCGGGGACCACTGATTCTTAAGCTTCGGCCACCTCCTTTGTGGAATACTGTTCTTACTCTCTCTGGGCTTGCGAAGTGAACGAGGGGATTTTCTCATCCAGGCCAGGCTTGCGCAAAGGCCAGAAAGGGATTTCGGAAAGATTCTCTCCAAGGGGCACAATCCAGAGGGGGTGCACAGTGCAGAACACAAGGGGCAGCCCAGGTTCGTCAGCCCCCTGAAAAGTCTGCAATGACATTTTCGACCCCTCCACCTGGGCGACCTTGGGGGGAAGTGTCATTCCAGCTCTACCTCCTGGGGCCTCGGTGTACTCGTCCGCCAGGAAAGTTAGTACTGGCTCTCTGGTATCAGATAGGAGGCTCCCTGGGGAGCTCCTGAACCGCCGGAGGCTGTGAGCAAGCGTGCAGGGTGTCTTGTCGGGATTAATGGTCGCTGGAGGCAATTTCCCCCTTGGTTTCCCTGTGAAGCGGCTGCTTCTCCTGTGGTGCCTGCTAGAGGCAGCGGAGAAAGAGTGGGGTTGAGGGAAAAACAGTCCCTTCCCGAAGGAGCTGCCCTTGGGCTGGGAGAGATAAACCCCGACTGTAAATAACTTTCCAAGCTCTTTAGGAGTGGGGGCTTGGGAGTTCAGAAGGGGGGCTGCCTGCTTGGGTTACCTATGTGGGTTGCAGAGATTTCCCACGGCTTGCCACTTTCAGGCGCAGAAGTGGGGAGTTCTGCACGTGGGTGGTGTGGAGGAGACTCCCAGAGGACAGCGCCAGGGTGGGGAGAGTCTAGGACGGATGGATGTGTTAAGGCTCCCCTTGCTTGGGTCATGTGTAGGGAATCTGCAGAAAAAAAAAAAAAAAAAAAAAAACAGGGGTAGATTATGGCTCCTGAAGAGAGTCCATGGATTAGCTGAAAGAGAGGACACTGGACCTTTGGGAAAACAGTCTTGAGGTCACCGGTCCAACCCTTTCTCGTGCTGAGTTATTGATTAAATAATTCAAGAGGAATCCCATCCTCATGTCTTCTGGTTTTCAGGAGAGGTGGTCTGGCCTGTGGGTCTCCTTCCACCTGCTCCTGCTGCTCTTGGGCACCCTTGCTCATTCTTGCCCCAGGCAGGACACAAGTCAGCAAGAACGCCACCACTGTTTTTCTGACCAGGAGGTGAGGGAGAATAGAAAAGGCATTTGCTGAAAGGTGCCAGGGTCTTACTTCATGGCTGAGAACCAGACCTGGGTGACTCATTTTGCTCATAAAGCAGTGCCCTGGGGCCGCTGCTCTTGCACCGCTTTCCCTGTCATATAAAGAGAATACTGAGGTTCTAGGATGCCTGTGGCACATCCAGTCAGTCCCAAGCTGGCGCAGGCTGGGTGGGATGGGTGGTTGACTGGGAGCACCTGCAGCTTAGCTCCACCCCATAGTCTAAGCCCCAGGGAGGACTTGATGGGCAGCGATGGGAGCTGAAGCAGGTGTCCCAGGAGGAGAGCATGGACAGAGGCAGGAGTATCCCCTGATCCTTCTTGCTGGGGTGGGGTGGGGTGGGGGGGCCACAGTGCCTTGCAGGCAATGGTCCTGTCACTTCTCTGAGAGCTGTGGGCCTCTGTAGGATTTGTTAGCAATCCTTAAGAGGAGTTGGTTCTCAATAAGGAAGTGAAGGGCTGGAGAGGCTAAGTAACTGCCACAAGGGTCACGTGCTGGTTCTCCTTGACGGTGAGATCAGAACCCGGGCAGAGGGCTCAGGAGGCTAAACTTTGATAATGGTTGATAATTGCTGGAGCTGGAAGATGGGGAAGGACGGACTTGGGAGGAGAAGAGAAGCTTAAGGCTGGGTGGCACAGACCAGTAGTCTCGGCTACTGAAGAAGCTGAGGCAGGAGGATCACAGATTCAACACCTACCTGGGCTACAGATGAGTTCAAAGCCAGCCTGAGCAATGGAGACTCTGTCTAACAAGGGCCTGTGAGACCCAGGATTCTCCCCCTCAGGGAAATAGTAGGCATCAACAATTGTTCACACAGATGCAGTCTTGCTGTGTGCTCCATGCTGTTTTCCACAAACCCACAATTGGTTTCCATCTCCCAACCTGTGCTGTGTGTTCAGTTTCCCTGAGCAGGAGGAGAGGAAGACCTTCGAGGTTCTTTTTGTTTGGTTGGTTTGTTTTGAGACAGGGTTTCTCTGTAGCTTTGGAGCCTGTCCTGGAACTAGCTCTTGTAGACTAGCCTGGCCTCAAATTCAAAGAGATCCGCCTGCCTCTGCCTCCAGAGTGCTGGGATTAAAGGCGTGCGCCACCACCACCCCGGCCCTTGGAGGTTCTTAAACAGTTTCATAGCGGATGAGGAGCAGAGCAGGGCTTTGAGCTGGGCTGTTGGTAGAAGGAAGTCTCAGGGCCATTGTGCAGTGGGGGTGGGGACTCCAAGGGCCAGCTGTCCTGGGGACCATGTGCTTGGGCTTGGAAAGTGACTTGGAGATGAAAGGGACATTTGACACAGGAACTGAAACCAGATGTGGCTCGGTGACCTGAGGTGCCCACCTGGTGGGCTTCTGGGATGGACGGCATAAACAGGTGTTATGGGGGAAAGGGGAGCAGGGTCAGAACCTGACTGCTTAGAGACACGCTGAGAGCCTTGAGGGAGGGCACTACCCAAAGCCAGAGGTAGGGCAAATCATGGTGAGTTCAGTGTGTGTGTGTCTGGGGGGGGAGCAGGTGTGAGCCTTTCGTCCCCTCTCAAGGAGGAGGGGGAGGAAAGACCCCGGGCCAGCTGGGGGCCCTTGGAGGCTGTCCTCAGAGCAGCTGACTGCACTGAACCTGCTACTCAGCAAGGGCGGGTCCTCTCTAGGAAGAGCCTGAAGAGGCTCTAGAAGGCACGCAGCTGCTATGAAGTGGGGTAGAGAGTGCCAGCCTTGGAATCCCTTCTGTCAGGCAGACCTTGGGCAAGACTTCAGCCTCCCTGTGCCTCGGCTCCTCAGCGCTGACCTGGGCTGTTGGAGTCCTGGCTTGGGGTCTGTGAGGTCTAGCTTCTAGCTGGGCTCTGCCTCTGTTGTTGCACACTGAAGTGGACAAGTCCAGCTCTCTCTCCTATGGGTTGGCAGTCCTTGGAAGCTCCTTTCCACTCTGGTTAGCAAGTATCTGAGCACAGCAACCAGTCAGGGCCCTCCTTAAGGGAGGACTGTCCAGTGAATACGGGGTGGAGCAGGGGCCTCTGCAAGGCAGGATTGGATCTCTAGCTTATAGGCTTCCTGTTCTTCATCCAATGCCCTTGACCCATCTGTGAAACATGGGAAAGGAGCTGGCCTTGTTCATCAAGCCACTAAGCTCCTAAATTTCTAGGAGGAAGCCAGGCCCTGTATTCCCTGGTAACTTCAACCTCAACCTAACCAGGCATCCTAAAAAACTCTGGTTCTTAGACCTAGCACATCATGTCACCAAGGGAAAAGCTTCTCAAGGCCATCCCTGGGAGCCAGATAGAAGCACCGAGAAGGGCTGACCTTGCTTAGTTGGCCTAGATATTTTTCCTGCTTCATGGTTAACAGTCTGGGATGTGGTCCAGGACAGCCCAAACCCTGGTAGCATGTGGGTTAAATAGGTTTAGGGAATAGGCTCTCCCACCTTCCTGGGGTCAGCAGGGTCCACAGAAATATAACCAAAGGACTACTTTCTCTGGCTAACTCTGAGGACCCTGAGGCAGGTCGTATCCTTGACCAGGGTCTCCTCATTTTCTGAGTGAAGTTTTTTATGTCAGGCCTTAGACTGTGGCTCGCAAGGAGCTTCCCGGCTGTATCCCTAGAAAACGCCCTCACCCACAGAACTATGAGCACTGAATATTATAAACTGGGCAACTGAGGCTGGGCACTGGCAGTGACTCGCCTGGGTCACATGGTTAATAAGTAACCTAGCCAGAACTTGAAGCTCCCAACCCATGGCATAGACTCCCCAGTGAACTCTCCGTTCCCTCTTGTCCCCTCCTGCATCCTCTCCCCCCACCTCCCCACTGCAGATAAACTGAAATGTTTCCAATTAGGGCTGTTCTGAACCAGACCTGCCTGCGAGCTGTCCACGGTGGCTCCCCCGCCTCTGCCTTAGTCCTGATTGCCTCCCCAAGGGGGCTCACTTACCCAGGTCATTACCGCTAATCAGCGGATTCCTGGGAAGACTTCGCAATGCTTGGGGGTGGAGCAGTAGGTATATCACTGTGCCAGCTGCTCCTGGGGGTCCCAGGGATGCCAGTGTCCCTCTGTCCCCAACAGTGGTCTGGCTACACTCTACCTGCCCCCTGGAAAGAGTTTCAAAGTCTCCTGCTGAGTTAGCCCTCTGGGAGGTACCCTCACAGATAAAATACTGTTAGCCTAGCATGGGGTAAGCAAATGTCTGGGGACTTCAGAGGGAAGGGGGAGCTAGGGAAGCAGAGTCCCCCAGACTCCCCCACTAGTTAGCCCCAGGTACTGGGGAGCACTGGGCACTGGACCTGAGAGAAGCTTCAACCCTCAGGAGCTGCCTGCACTGCTCAGCAGGAAGGGCTCCATCAGCACCCCATTTCTTGGCCGGCACCCTACTTTTAGGTAAGCCTAGGGTAAAGCCAAGAAGACAGCCATGCTGCTTGCATGGGCTGTGTGCCTCTGGCGCGTGGAAACCTTCCATTTCAACCATAGAAAACACAGAAGACCCAGCAAACGAGCAGGGAGAATGGAGTTGTGGGTCATACCCACCCAGGCCCTGACAGCTTGCTAGGAAGCAGGCGAGCCTCGCTGGCTAGGTTGGGAAAGCTGGACTCCTGGGCTGTGGAGAGCTGCTGTGGTGTGCCGAGGAGAGGCAGATCCACACAGGGACCATTTGCCTCTACAGCCTGAGCCCACACAGGTATGCTTCACAGGTGATACCACCTGGCCAAATGGATCTGCTTAGGCCAGGAAGCCATTGTTCCCTCTCGATGGTTTGGACTGGTGTGGGCCAGGGTCAAAGGGAAGGACATGGCTTAGGACACTCACCTCTGATCTTAGGATAGGTAAGGCATCCTAACCACAAATGCCAGGCCGGGTCTTCTGCATGAGTCTACTCCCCGTGTCTGTATGGGGTGGGGGTGGGGGAGTTATATGGTGGGTGGCAGACAGGCAGAAAGAAACCAACTGATCAAAAATTACCTAATTTGGCCTAATTTGAACAGGATTTTGTGGCTGTTCAAAAAGGAAGAGCGGTACACTCTCGTCTGCCAACATGGAGGAGATCCAGTCTCTTCACTCCTTCGGAGCTAAGATTCCCTTGGCAATGAGCTGAGGTTTTAAGTCTAGGATCACAGGCATGCATCGCTATGCCTGACATGAGCACATTATCTTATTTAAGCCTCCCTGTTTTCTTTTGAAGTAGAAATGGTCGTTACTGCAGCTGAGGGCCGTGAGGCCCAGAGAGGTCAGGTGATTTGCCCAAGTCACACAGTAGGGCCTCTCAAGCTTATGCCTTTCCCGTCTAGGAGCTGGGGCATCTGGGGCCTTTCTGCATCATTGCTGATGGGCCCTTAGACTAAATGTTCCCGAAGACCAGAGGGGACCAGTGATCCTTGACTCTCTGGACTAGGTATTGAATTTTCTAAATTCTGGATCGCCATAAACTTCAGTGTCCTTGAGTTGTTGAAGGGCAATCCTTTGTGCGGGTGAGGACTTTACAACGGTGATCAATGGTGGTAGAATCGCACGCGGTAATGGTGTAAAGCTCTTAACGCACGGAGTGCAATAGCGTAAGGGTCTAATTAATAGCACGTGTAATTATTACGAGACTCCAGCCCTGGTTCTGGCACACAGCTACCGGTGCTGAATGAATGGAAGGAACTTAGTAACTCGTGGCCAGGAGGTCTGAGGCAGTGGCTGGAAGTGTTTTGCAGACTGTAGATGCGTCTATTCCTAAAACAATTATAGGATTCAGGCAGGATAAAGGATGTGATTCTGTGTTAGGATTAGGGTGTAAGGCCCAGAGAGAGATAGTGTCATGCCCAAACGACAGGTGGTTGGGCCAGGGCAGGCAAACCGTTGCTCTGCCACGTGACTCTTGGCAAAAATGATTGAGTCTGTTCGCGGGGAGGACTGACCTGCGGACCAAACGCCCCTCACACCCTGTCTTTCTTCCATTTGGTGGTTTTCGCGGTATGCAGAGCACTGTCCAAGACGCCAGCAGCCCTCGCGCTCAACCAGACGCAACACTGCAAGCAGCTGGAGGGCCTGGTGTCTGCGCAGGTGCAGCTCTGCCGCAGCAACCTGGAGCTCATGCGCACCATCGTGCACGCGGCGCGGGAGGCCATGAAGGCCTGCCGCAGGGCCTTCGCCGACATGCGCTGGAACTGCTCCTCCATCGAGCTCGCCCCCAACTACCTGCTTGACCTAGAGAGAGGTATGGGCTGTGGGGCGCCGCGCTGCTGTGGCGGGAGGATCCCGGCGGAAGCTCTGTGTGTTTGGATAGGTGCGTGGATTCACGGGTGGACGGATGAGCGACAAGATGGATGGTTACACAGATGGATAAGCCACGGCTGGGCGGACGCTTGAGCGGATGAGTCATTCGTAGATATGGGTTTCAGGAACGAACTGGGGAACGGATAAATATTAATGAGTGAATATATCAGCACATACTTTGGCCCGAATAACACTTCAGGACACACGTGTGCTGTAATGCACGGATGAAGGAAGGACATTGCCGTAGACCGCACCAAGGAGGCTCCCTGCTGTACTGAAAGCCAAGTCGATATAAGGAGACTGGTGGAAAGCCCGCCCCTGGGCAGGCAGGTGGACCTAGGCAAACCTGATTGGCGGGAACTGCTTTGATGCACGAAGTAGTCCAGGCAGCAGCGAATAGCTTTGAAACAGGCTTCCGGGAGGGAACCTGAGTGCACACAGGCTGAGTGCCTACCCCACACAACCACGGGGTCCAGGCATCACGGGGTCGCAGATGGCAGTCAGTCCCCACCCCCAAGATGTCGGAACACCAGGGAAGGCTTGTCAGGTGGGCTCTACAGTTAGCAACTGAGGTTCTGTAGGGGTGGTAACTGCTAGTTATAGGACAGGGCCAGGATTCAGATGTGGGACCAGGATGGCCTGGAATGGAGTGGGACCCCAGCAGCTCTATGCTCATTCCTGGGGCTCTGTCCTTGTCCTGCATACTGTCTCCCAGTTGTGAGTAGCGCCCAGACTGTAATCCTGCACTTGAGAGACTGTGGCAATAAGATAGCCCCAAGGCAGCCTGGGCTACATACTGTTACATTGTTCCAGAAGCCCCAAGTCTGTGAATGAGTTCTCTGCAGGGCTGTGCTGTCTCCCTGGGTCCCGAGAAGCTCCAGGTAGCTGTGGGTATTCTGCAGTACCTCGACCTACAGCTGTGACAACCAGCTCACATGTCATATGGTGCCTCCCATCCGTGTCTGTGTACCCCCCAGTTCCCTCCTGCTCTAAGGACACATGACCGGGATGGTCTCATCTTAGCAGTGAGATTCTCTCAGAAAGACTGGGTTTCTAAATCGTCTCTTAGTCCTGAATTCCCACCAGGGCTCAGGGGGCTGAGGTTCTTGCTTATGTAAAGCACCCTGTGACTAGCAGACTGGTAGCCCTTGCAAGTCCTTTTTCTGCACTGCTCTGGGGACAGCTGGGTCCCTCTGTGCTGCCCACTGTAGGGGTGGAGTAAGATGACCTCAGGCCAAGGTCTGGCCTCCTCCTGACCTCCAGCCCCTCTAACCCTCACCTCTCCCACAGGTACCCGGGAGTCAGCCTTCGTGTATGCCCTGTCGGCCGCCACCATCAGCCACACCATCGCCCGGGCCTGCACCTCTGGCGACCTGCCCGGCTGCTCCTGCGGCCCTGTCCCAGGTGAGCCACCCGGGCCTGGGAACCGCTGGGGAGGATGTGCGGACAACCTCAGCTACGGGCTCCTCATGGGGGCCAAGTTTTCCGATGCTCCTATGAAGGTGAAAAAAACGGGATCCCAAGCCAATAAACTGATGCGTCTACACAACAGTGAAGTGGGGAGACAGGTAACCACCCCCCACCCGCCCCAGAGGGTGTGCCTGGGCCACTGGCTGGAGAAGGGCCCGCCCCCATGGAGGGCCCCATGAGGGTGTGGGAGAGGGGATGGGCTGGGACCTTGCCGCTCTCCCCTCTCTAGAGCTTGGGCTTGCCTGCCCCTTCTCCTCTCTGGGGTGCTCCAAGCAGAGGGAACAATGAGCTGGGAGCCCAGACCTCTGAGTTCTGCCCTTTGGCGCTGGCCCTGACGTCCTGAAGGGTGACTTGCTTCCTCTCTGGCCTTGTTCCTTCCCAGCTATAAAGCCGCGACAGGGTGGGCCCTCCTTGTAAGTTCCTCAGCCTTTCCTGAGGACAGGGAGGGGGCTGGACCACAGACTTTACACTACACCCCCTCTTTGTAATGGGGAGGGGGATTCCACGCTGCCTTGAGAGAATGGGTTCCCCAGAATCTGCTACCAGTGTCTCCTTGTTTCTTGCTTGCTACCCAAAAGGCTGGGGGAGTGTGGGAATGAATGAACCAAATTAAGCTTTTACATGTATGTATATGCATGTGCAAGTGACAGTACAACTTGGGGGAGTTGGTTCTCTCCCACTGGGTTCTAGGGGTCCAGCTCAGGTCATCAGGGTCCGTGGCAATCACCTTTACTTCGGAATGATAAACTTGGCACCAATCTGTGGTGTGAACACGCACTCCCTGTTCTATTCTTTCCCTCCTGGGATCCCAGAACAACCCCCAAAAGTTCTGTTGTCCCTTTCTCACTGATAGGGGAAGATCCCCAGGAAGAGTGTACTATGTAGCAGAAGGAATCTCTCAAATGGTTTAGCCCTGGTGGCTCAGCCAGGAACATGTGGCCTGAGGAAGTGGAATCTGTGCAAATCCACCCACCTTCACCTGTCCCTGGTGACTCTTGAATGTCCAGGCTGTCCTTGGACAGTCTGGGAAAACTGAAGTCAGATCACACTAGCCAGGAGTTCCTGCCTCCCCGCCCTGGGACTGGCCTCATTGTGGGAACCCAGAGAGCTTTTACCTAGCTCCAATGATGGTGACTATCACTATGGTGACCTCAGCCTCCAGCTGGGTTGCTCCTCCCTACCCCCCCCCCAACTCCAGTGCAGTGCAAGAGGATACTTAGTTTCCATCTCAGGACACATTAGGTCTGTTCTTGGAGCCACCTGCTAAAGGCGAATGCTGTTCCCTGTAGTCCAGGGCTGTGTGAGAATTAAATGGCATCAGGACCAGGCAATTTAGCACCTGCCCCTGAGTGTCCACACCTTTCCAGACCGGATTCAAGGAATCAAGCTTCAGCACTCTGTCCCTGGTGCCTGTATCTCCTTCTTCTCCCTCCTAGGCATCTAGCAAGTTCTATACCTAGTCTGCTTCCTCAGTCCCCATTTCCTGTTGCCATGATAAGGATGATCCCTGACACTTTGCCTAGCTCCCCACCAACTCACTGACTGACTGAGGGACTGGAGCAAGGCCAAGCCAATCTTCACCTCAGTTTCCTCAGCCACGTGATGCAGGGTGTGAATACAGGTGACCCATGACCCTTGCAGGACAAGGGAGAGGGAAGTGTCCTGTGAGCAGGGGTTTGAGGAGCCGAACAGAAAGGTCCTTAGAAGGTGTTTGACCTCTGACCCTCAGACACCAACAGGAAAACGAGGCCCAGGGAAGACTTGGGGGGAAGAGTCATTTCTCACACCAGGGCTGGATCCTGCCTACAGGCCTGGCCCAGGGGTTTCTAGTTTCCCCCACAGCTCTGATTCAAACTGCATGTTCAGAGCCAATATTGATTTAAACTGTTATAACCCACACACCCCTTAGTACAGCTCATTTAACCCTTGCCACACTCAACCAGGGAGCAGCAGCCTGCCAGCTTCAGACTTCAGAGCAGAGAGGCTGGGTGACAACAGAGAGTCACCTGGCAGCCATGGGTGGGTCCAGAAAGAGGTGCACCCCCATACTGTCTCCTCCCTGTCTCCCCAATCCTTCCCCAGCTGCCTTCCTTCTTGCTCTTCTCGCTGCTCTTCAGGCAAGCCTCTAGTAAGTCCTGGTTTGTGGGAGAGAGAAGGCGTGGAACAATTCAAAGTCAGCTTTTGGAATCACTGTCAGATGCAGGTTCAAATCCCAGCCCCGCAATCTTCTAACTGCAAACTTGGGGGTCGGACGTAGCGTATTTGCGCCTTCCTGTTTAGGATAGGGCAAAGAGTGGGTCTCCCGGATGGGCTGTGGCAGCTGTGTTAGGACATTTGTGCTGAGTGTCTATCTGTGAATGCCCCTCTTAGTTGCCCTGGAGTGGAAGCATGACCCCCACCCCCCGACTTTAGTGCCAAATGCTCCATCCCTTGAGGATCCAGTGGGACATGAACCCCCCAAGAACCCCCAGTCATGAGGTGGGGGGGCCAGAGCCCTGACAGGCCAGGGAGGGGTTCTGGCCATTCCGCCGATACCTTGCCTGTCTGCAGGCTCTGCGTGCCTCCCTGGAAACCAAGTGTAAGTGTCATGGGGTGTCTGGCTCCTGCTCCATCCGCACCTGTTGGAAGGGGCTGCAAGAACTGCGGGATGTGGCTGCTGACCTCAAGACCCGCTACCTATCGGCCACGAAGGTGGTGCACCGGCCTATGGGCACCCGCAAGCACCTGGTGCCCAAGGACCTGGACATCAGGCCCGTGAAGGACTCAGAACTGGTGTATCTACAGAGCTCCCCCGACTTCTGTATGAAGAACGAGAAGGTGGGATCCCACGGGACCCAAGACAGGTAGGTAGGCTGCCACCTACACACACGCCACACTCAGGGCTGGGCCGAGCACAGTGGTGACTAAGCAATTGGAGAGTGGAGTCCTTGCCCAGTGTGGGGAGGAGGTTCCAGGGAGACTGAGGAGGTTCGGGGATAGCGGCTGATGGCCCCACCTTCCCCCTAGATGGGAAGTAACAGCAGTGGTACTGTATGACAGGGACTAGGAAGAGCTGCCCAGCATGAAACAGGAGCTCAGGAGATGTCACAGGGACAGGTGAGAGATAAATGCCCCTCCTGCTCTTTGGACAGAGGAGGAACTGAGAGGCACAAGGAGAGATGCAGGCAGCATCCAACCTAAGGCAGCCAAGGAAGTACCCAAAGCAGAGCGGATGAGCTGTCCCTTGATAAGTGCCCACCCCCCAGACTCTAGTCCTCCCATGTCCCCTGGGGACTACATAGGTTAGGCCTGAGGTCCTCATAGCTGGCTCAACCCTGGCTCTGGATAGGGAGACAGGAAAGACAAGGAAGGGGCCCATGACCTACTGTGTGCCGGGTGGGGCTATTAAGGAACTAGGTGGCTGCTTTTGCAAAGAGGGTTCCTGAGAACCTAGGAAAGAAAGTTCTGTGATCAGATGCACCTGGGCAGCTCGCTGGCCATCCCCAAGGCTTGAGGGAGCCTCAGCTAAGGAGCTGATTAAACCGAGTTTCCCAGAGGTACACGGCCGGGGAACTCTTTTATTAAGGAGCTGCTCATAGCATTCCACGAAGCTGGTGCTCACAAGGTTAGGGAAATACGGAGCAGAGAGCGGGTGTCTGGGAACGTGTCTGGCACATAGTTGGTGCCCGGCCAGCTTCTGCTTCCTCCGCAGCCCACGGTCTTGCCTGTGAGAGGGGAGGGCTGGTTTGGGGCTCTGTCCCCACGGCCCGGGGCTCTGTGAGGAAGAGGCCCAGGCTCCCATCTGGAGGCCAGATTGAGGGGGTGGGCAGAGTGGAGGTGGAGTGGGTCAGGCAAAGGAGACAGGAAGGAACGCGAGTCGGCTTTGAAGCGGCAGGGTGGGTGTGAGCGGCTGAGAAGGGGAGTTGAATCTGTAACACACAGGGGCTGGGCACAGAGCCCTAGAGGACATGGAGTGAGCAGAGAATTGCAGAAGACTCTGCCCATAGGCTGTGGGTTAGCGCCCTGTCTTCTCAGCGCTCTGTCCCCAACTGTATCCCTCAGACCCAGTCCCTCCTCAGTACTCGCCCAAGGGACAGTTCACCTGAATAGCTGCCTCTTTATCAGGCAGGTAGACGGCAGCAGGGAGACCTTCCTGGCTCCTCACCTCCTGCCATAGCTTAGGGGAGGAGGCTGAGCAGTGGCCTTGGCACCGGTGTTTAGAGAGAGAACTTTTGCTTGTCCCCTCACTGCAGTGAGAGCAGCGGCTGCCATGCATTGCATCTGCTCCACAAACAGAAGGATGCGGAATGCCTCTGGGGAGATGTCACTGCGGGCTCCTTTGGACACCTGCATGCCTGCACTTAGCAGACCCAAGTGTCCAGGCCCAGGGGCCTCCTGGGCTGTTTTCAGTGTTGCAGAATGTCTCCTGAGTTTTTTGATTGTGGAAATGACACTTACCTCCATTACAGCTTAATTAAAGATTAATTATAAAGGGGGGGCGTCTGGGGAGGAGGCGCAGTTGGTAAGGCACCTGCCTTGTAAGTTTGAGGATCAGACTGGCAGTGGTGGCACACACCTTTAATCCCAGCACTTGGGAGGAGAGACAGGCTGATCTCTGTGAGTTTGAGGCCAGCCTGGTCAGTCTACAGAACTGGTTCCAGGACAGACAGCCAGGGCTGTCACACAGAGAAACCCTCTCTTGAGCTTCCACTCGCCTGCCACAGATGAGGATCTGAGTTTATATCCCTACCACCTGTGTGATGGCATAAATCTAGAATCCTAACCGTGAGGTGGGGGCAGGGATAGGAAGGTGCCCCGGAACTCACTGGCCAGTCTTGCCAAGTGGATCCCTGAGCTCTGGTTTCAGTGAGAGACTCTTTCTCAATAGGTAGATAGGCAGGCAGGTAGGTAGGTAGATAGATAGATAGAAAGACAGATAGATGATAGATAGATAGATAGATAGATAGATAGATAGATAGATATTCAGTGTGGACCTCTGCCTCCAAATAAATGCATGCACACATTTGTGCACGTGGACCATTACCACACAAATACAAAATACACACATTTTCCTAAGGATTAAATATGAAGTCAGGGTTAATTTTTTGATTTGAGAGTTCTGGTATTTAGAAGAAGAAGAAGAAAAAAGGAAACCAGACAACTCAGGAAGTAAAATAGCCCCAACAATTCCATCAGAGCTTATTGTAAACACAGGGAAGTTAGGGAAGGAGGAAAGCCTCGGTTTCCCCCCAGATTGATCCCCCTTCTTGCGGGGCTGGGTCAACCACAATGGCGAGGGTGCAGGCTGCTGGTGGTAACGGTGCTCACTAACCTCTCATTCCCACCCCCAGGCAGTGCAACAAAACCTCCAACGGCAGTGACAGCTGCGACCTCATGTGCTGTGGGCGCGGCTACAACCCCTACACGGACCGCGTGGTGGAGCGGTGTCACTGCAAGTACCACTGGTGCTGCTACGTCACCTGCCGCAGGTGTGAACGCACAGTGGAGCGCTACGTCTGCAAGTGAGGCTGCACGTTCCGCCCCTGTGGAGGGGCGCCGTTCTCCCCGAGGACCCACTGAAGGGCCTGGAGACCCCGTGGACTTCCCTGCCGATCCCAGATGCCAGGCGTGGGAGGAGGCTTGTGCCGGGACTCCACTTGGAAGCCACCGGGAACAGGAGGCCTGGTCGCCCTGGGAGGGCCGGGGCATCAAAGGAAACCGATAGGATTAAAAATAACCTGGCAGCTTGGGGCCCGAGTGCCCACATGTTGTCTTCCAGGCTGCTCCAAGAAGCCAGGGCAGGGATGGGTAGGACTGTGTGCGTTTGACCTTTCAAGGCCAGAAAGACCAGCCTCCCAGAATGTTCTTTGGGACCCTGTGCCCACCACATGGAACCACTAACTGGGTTGTAAATTTTTATTTTTCTTTCCCCTCTCCTTTGGGATGCGGGAGTTACAGAAATATTTATAAAATATAGCTTTTTCTTTGGGGTGGCTCACTTCAATTCCTCTTTATATATTATATATAAAATATATATATGATGATTATATTTTAAACAACTGTGTGCAATGAATGCTGAGCAAGCCCCAGCCTGCCCCCCCAAATCTCTAGCTCCTGGTCTGGCGGGGGGACTCTCCAGTTTCTAGACAAGGCGGCCTCCCATTGATGTCTCAACCCCACCCGGTCCCCGGACCTGGTCCTGGCCTATTTCCCTGTCTGTGATCTGTTGGTCAAGGGTGAGGACAGACGTCTTGAAACATAAACCCAGTTGGCAGTGTCTTTATTCCTCAGGGACATTCTTAATACCACAGCATGGCCGTTGGCCTTGCTTTCAGACCCATTAAGCTGGCTGCAAGAAAAGCCACCCTGGGAAGCTGGGACCTTAGCGAGGTAGCCCTGGTGGGTTTTCGGTGGGACCCCAGATAGTGGCTAGGAGCTAGGCAACCAAGAAGGAGGCAGATCACTGGATCCCGGAGGGCTCCTTACCCCAGGCTTGGGGTTGAATCCTGCTGGATCCACTCAGCAGGGGGTAGGGCTTCATTTGGGTTACAGCAGCCCTGGAGTTTACTGTGTTGAAAGATATAGAACTCTGTACCTGTGGGTTTGGGAGTAAAACCTTCCATCATGCTCTGGATAGCCCGTTTGTACCATCCTGAGTCACAGGGGTGGTCATCGTAGACTCTGAACCCCTGTGCTGAACAGCTTAGACCTGTGTGGGAGGCTGGCTGGAGTCTCCGGAGACAGGCCTGGGGATAGACAAGACGGCGGGGAGGAAACAGGAACTTTCCAAGAGAGAGAAAGATTACTTTGTGGGAAAGGAGAGAATGGACAGATAAGGCCCTGTGGAGAGGTGTCTCAGGCCAAAGCAACCACACCATGTGGGGCCCGGCCCAGCCCCAAACATCGCTGCTGTGTTCTGCCACAGACCAGCGGACACAGACCAGGCTCCGGACAGGAGTCCAGACCCAAGAGAAGCCAGATGTTGTACAAAGAGATCTGGCTTCACCCAGCATCCTGCTTACCCTCTGTGTTGTGACTCCGGGCAACCTCTGGCCCTCTATGGGTTTCTGCAGCTGTTGTCTTCAGCTTTCATAACTATTCTGTGCCATAGGGTCCACCACCTCTGTTTTATTATGAGCAATCAGGCTCATAAATGAAAAAATAATGTGATTTAAGATCATGGTATACCAGCGGCAAAGTCAGGATTCAGACTGCTGAGCGGGGCTTGGTGTCACACGGGAGGGAGAGAACAATCCAACAATCCAGGACTGAGCAGTTTGGATGTCTGTGGCTTTACTGCCAGGCTCTCTCCAAATGGACTACTACTGGGCTGTCCCTGACTGTCCCCCAGGCCACCACCCACCTGCAGAGATGGCTGCAGGCAGAATCATACTTTCAGTCGGTCCCCTTGCTCACATGACTAAATCAGGATCCTCTCCCCAGGCTGGTGGCTGCGAAGGATGCTCTCTCCTTTTCAGTCCCTAGATCTCCATTGCCTCATCCGCCTAGGCCTCAGGGTTAAAGTTGGGGGTGACTGAGGGGAAAGGGGCTTGTCCATATCCAGGAAGCCGATGGGGAGGGGCCTGTGGTTCGATGCTCCTGGGCAAGGCACAGGGGACATTAAGCCCCAAATGTTTATTTTATGTCCCCACTGCCTCCGCCTCCCTAAGAGTGTGCTGGGCTCAGGGGGACTGAAGAGCAAGGGGCAGGCTGGGAGGCACAGGCTGCAGACAGCAGAGTCTGTGAACTTGAAGGTTTCCTCCTAGCCCTAGACTCACAGTCAGGGGGCTTCTCCTTGACTCTGGGCCTCTTCTTGGAACCAGCCTCCTGCCCCAAGCCCTTTCCTCACTCCAGGGCCAGTCAATCCACCTAGCCCAAGCAGGCAGCCACCTCATGCAGACCCCATGCATTAACCCCAGAACTTACCAATGAGGATATCAGCATGGCTGCGCCAACAAGGCCCACGTTGCTGCAGCCAGGAGGACACGGGGCAGGTGTGGACCAGAGAACACCTGGATAGTAAGTGAAGGTCTCTTCAGGAGACAGGCTTGGGGGCTTCATGTTTACGGAGACTCCAGCTCTGTGCTGTTCCCTGGAGGCCCGCAGAGTGGCTCTGCTCTCTGTGACAGCTGGCATTTGCTAACTACATTGAGATGGAGTCTCTGCCTTACTCGTGATGAGTCTTGAGCCCAGACTCCATTTCCAGGTTGTCTCGTCTCTATGAGGGTCTCCCATAATACACACCTCAGGGCCCCTGTGCTCCTTGGACCGTGGACAGTGACTGATTGAACTCTGAGGATACCATCTCACCCACTAGAGTCTCCCAGACCCACTCCAGGCCAGAGGACACCAGTGAGGGTCAGGGCAGAGGCTGGAGTTCTTGTCCAGACTGGATATATGTCACCTCCCTGATACTGTTTACCTGGTGTTTGGAGACTTCCAGGCCTCTCCTTTGAAGGGCAGTTTATAGATGAGAGGCCGGAGACCCCTTCTCCACCAGAATCCCTCTGGTCATGGCCAAGGGAGGTTCAATTCTGCCAAGCCTTGCCATCTTGTCCCCAGGCTTCAGTCTCCAATGCTCTTGGTGAGTGTGGGCAGTGAGGTCCCCTCTGGGGACTAGGGCCATTGAGGGATTGAAGCAGAAGTAGAAATTGGAGTCCAGCATCTTCTGCCCTGGGACTCAGTATCTGGGGGCCTGGACACTTGAAACAGGACATATGTTCTAGGAGAAGCTCCCAAAGGAGGCATGACTGGAAGGTTCTAGAAGAATTATACCCACAGCCAGGCATGGTGACACAGGCTGGTAATCCAAGAACTTGGGAGGTAGAGGGATGAAGATTGAGTCTGAGCATAGCATCATAGTAAGATTTTATCTCAAAAGGCCAAAGCAAGGCCAGTGGGACGCTTCAGCAGGTAAATATCCTTGCTGTGCAGAACCAGAAACCTCAGTTTGACTTCCAGAGCTCACATAAGGGTGGAAGGAGAGAGAACTGGCAAGAATTGTCCTCTGACCTCCACACACGTGCTGTGGTATGTCAACATATGTACATGTATCATGTATGTACATCTGAACAAGTATATACACACATATATACACCTAGTAACAAATAAACAATAGATTAAACAACTCCCCTCCGCAAATTCCTGTCTATAGACAAACTTTCCAAATCTTAGCACCTGATATCTGGGGATATGGATGCCCTGACAGAGTCACCTTCATTGGGACTGGGTCCCCACAGTGACGGTGCCCCATAATTACCCCTTCCAGGGCACCCTCTGTGTCCTAGGCACTACCCAAGCTGGTGGCTTTCCTCTCAACCCATCACTGCAGAAACAAGGCTCTCAGAGCCAGGCACAGACTCAGTTCTTCCCTATCATGTCTGGATGACCTCTGTCACTTTCTGTGACTCAGTTCCCTTATGTGTAAAATGAGGACCGCCAAGGGAGTCTTCTCTTTTGATCTAGTGGATCCCACATCCCGCCTCTGAATTGAGGGAAGAAGCCAAGAGTTCGGGTGAGCAAGCCAGAGACGAAGCCTTGAGTGACAATTTGGGGTCATGGAGCCAGGATCTGAGTTCTGGACTCTTTGGAAAGCCCCACCCATTGGTCTTGTGACTCCCCGTCCTTTGGGTGCTGGAGGTCCATTCCCTGCGATAGCCCTTGCCACAGTGGCTTGGTTTTTATTATGGAGGGAAGAGGGGAAATGTGCCTAGCCAGCATCTGGGTACTTTCACGTGAGCCTGGTCCTCCTGTAACACTTCCTGGGGGCATCCCCTCAATGTCACTCACTGGAGGTCAGCTGCGCAGCAAGTGTCCCCAGAAGACAGAGTCAATCGAAAGAGCAGGATGACATCTTGGGAGGTCTGCTCAGTCCTTCTGCTTCCAACTCCATTCTACAGATGAGGAAATGGAACCAGAGGGAAATGGCTGCCTCAGGACCTCTGCTGGGCTTGTGGCAGAGCAAGGTCAGATGCCATCAATCACAACACCCTCAGGGATGCAGGACTTCCTCTTCCCCATCCAGCACCCGGCCAGGGTGATAGCCAGCTAGGGTATGGGCAGCCCAAATATTTAGTCTATGCAGAAAGAAGCAAGGCTCAGATCCTGGCCCAGTGGCCCCGATCAGGGCCCAATCACATACTGTTAGGTGCCCAAATGCCATCCTCTGTAATGCCTCTGAATTAAGGGTGTCTTTTTCATCTCCCCCAAATAATAATAATTAGCTCAGATGCATAGGGGTATAGTTCATGGGACCACCGTATTCTGAGGTGCCCTGGCTCTGAAAAGCCAACACTGTAGGCTGTTCTATATGGGAAGCCAGGACTCTGGGGGTCAGCACAAAGGAGATTAGAAAGGTACCCGACTCACACAGCTCCTTGCTTCCTCTCCCCTCTGCCTGAGAAACCAAGGAGCCATGAGATGTCAGTCTTAGAATTTGACACTGACAATTTTCCATCGACTTCCAGGCGCCCGTGTTAGGGTTTCCTCATAGGCCTTTCTTTTATATTATCAGCAAGCCAGTCATGACGCACACACCTTCCTGCACTTGGGAAGTTGATGCAGGGGACTATCCTTGACCACACAGGGCCTGTGAAGCCAGCCTGGGCTACATGAGGCCCTGTCTCAAAAATTAACAATAGCAAAAAAAAAAAAAAAAAAAAAAAAAAAAAAAAAAACTCAACCAAACTCCTCTTAGTCTTTAACTGTGCTAGAGTGGCTGTTTGGTATTTTTTTCAGTCTGTCTTTTTCCTGTTTGTGCGGTATACTAGGCATAGCTACACTGGCCTCTTTCAGGCCCTCTCTATCTGCTCCAGCCATGCCTGGCCTGGGTAGTGGCCGCACTCCACCTGGCCGACTCTAACCACCTATCTGGGTGCCACACTGGATGAGCGTCCCTCGCTCCGGGCTGTCTTACAGCTTCCCCCTTTTCCCTTGTCCCGGCACAGCACTGCAGGGAATATTCCTGGCAAACGAGGCAAGCCCTCTCATCCTCCA